CAAGATTTTCTCCTGCTCACCCGAGGCATCTTCCCGCACCCAGGTGACTACTGGCCCCGACCCGACAAGGAGTGTGAGACCTTGTGGCAATGGGAGGAGGACGTCAAGGAGAATGAGCAGGCGGTGATGGCAGAGTTGTTCCTGGACGGGAGCTGTACCAGGTATATTGTGCCAGAACTCAACAGGGCGGCCTGGGGTCTTGCGATTTTCGATCGGGCTTTCAGGTTCCTTGGACGTGGCTTCGGCACCGCTTATGCTGGCCTCCCCAAAACTTCCCAGGCAGGAGAGTTTGCTGCCTTTGGGTGCTCTAGCCAGGTGGTTGGAGGCCAGTGTGATATTATACTGATTGTGCCAACGTTTATGTCCAGGCTAATCGACCCATGGGTGACCAGTTACATTATCAGAGGCCCTATGCTGGGCTATTGTTGGACGGCCAGAAGGTGTCTCACTGCATACAGTCGGTGAGGAAAGTCAAAGCACACCTTTCTCTCGAGGAGGAGGGTGTACCAAACGATGAAATGCAGCTCCGCCGAGGAAATTTCCAGGCCGATCAGGCCGCGAAGGTGGGTGTCCGCCTGCACGATGAACCCTCCCCAGACCAAGTGCAGGCCCTGGACGAGGTTTTAATTGTCGCCCAGACTGTTTGCAAGCTTGCGGCGGCGCTGCTGTGTAAGTGGCCCAGGCTCGATTTGAAAGATGTTGAGTTTCGCGCCCCGGTGGGGCGGGCCAGCGGAGCGCACCCTGACAGCCCCCAACATGACTGGGAATTCGTGGCGGGCAGGTGGAGATGCCGTGTCTGTCTCAAGGCCTCTCGGTCTCAGCTCCGCCCACCCCCGTGCGGTTGTTCGAGGGTGTGTGGGGATTGGGATTTCACTGAGATGGGACGGAATGGCCATTTCGTCGTCGGCCTGCCCTGTGCCGACGGCTTTGTACTGCATATATGCACGCGGTGTGCTAGCCATGTTGGTCACGGGTCTCTAAAGAAGTCCAACCTCAGTGGCAGATGTGACCAGAAGATGACAGCTCGGAAGAGATGCCTGTGGCGCCGAGTGCTGAGAGGGCTCTACCCCAGCTACTGTTCCACACTGAGGGTAGACCCTGAAGGTATCCAAGACCTCTGGGAGGGGACGGCTTGGAGTTCGGAGTGGGGGGGGGGAGCGATGCTGCCTCTGATGCTGGGCGCCAGGCTGTCTCAGTGACAGCGGGTGGTGCCGACCCGCGGGCTGCCGAGGTGAAGGCGGCCCATTGTTTTTTCGAGGAGGATCCTCGGATTGAGTTGCCCAGTGCTCCGCCCCCGCGTCGGCGTGGAGCTAGGGAGGCACCTTTTGTCTCGGTGCTCGCGCACCGCGATGAGGGCGACTCAAGTTCAGACTAATGCCTGGGGGAGAAGCAGCAAGCCACGGGGAATCCTCCAGCCAGCTGGAGATGTCTGCTGTGGCCTCCTGCCTTTCCTCACCTGTTCAGGTGTTAGGTTTTTGCTGGCCTTGGCCAGCCAGCCTGCTCTAATTGTCTGGGCAGGCACCCTTATTTGATGTTGATGTTGAAAATCCTCCTCCTCGCGCTGCGAACAAGAACACGACGGGAGGTTTTTCGCGATCTTCGGCCTCGGGGGGCCCTCCCCGGGCCTCGGGACCGTCAAAAAGCGACGCAGGATGAGGAGGAACCGGTCTTGGGGAAGGGGTCCAGACCTTTGGGGATCGACGGTGCGAGAACATCACGACGTCGGGGGTCTGGGAAACAGGTCCTACAGCCAACCCGCATCGTAAAGATGGGCGACGCTCCCCAGGGTACCCATGCATCCTTGCCTCCTCGGTCCATCCTTGACCACTTGCGTTGGCCGAGCCCCGCTCGAAAAGCTTCGAAATGGCCTTCCAAGGCCATGGAATCCTCATCGTGCATCCTTATGATACAGGTCCTGATGTCGAAGAAGAACAAATTGCATAAACATAAACTCTTGGCGTTCCGCACGGAGTTCTTGGATCCGCGCTGGGCCCCCCTGTGGCGGCGGTTCCTGCGCCCCCCCTGGCGCGTTCCACGCGCCAGCGAGGGGGGCCCGGCGCAGATCAAGTACATCCGCGCGGAGCGCCACAAGTTTATGTTTATGGCGTTTTACCTAACAGCGAAGACTGATAGGCTTCTAGTAGTCAAAAGAGAGCATCTTGACTCCCCAGAGGGGGTCTAGGCGGGTGCCGGGGAGAATCCGCGGAAGTCGTTTTAAGCAAACAGTTACACACTTCGTGGTCTTCGAGGTCCCAGAACTCCATTCCCGGGCCGCATTTTGAATGCCCAGAGCCAACTGTAGGCCACTTCGTGGTCTTCGAGTCCCCAGAACTCCATTTCCGGGCCACATTTTGAATGCCCGCAGCCAACTGTAGGCCACTTCGTGGTTTTCGAGTTCCCAGAACTTCATTCCTGGGCACGATTTTGTATGCCCAGAGCCAACTGTAGGCCACTCCGTGGTTTTCGAGTTCCCAGAACTCCATTCCTGGGCATGATTTTGAATGCCCGGAGCCAACTGTAGGCCACTTCGTGGTCTTCGAGTTCCCAGAACTCCATTCCTGGGCATGATTTTGAATGCCCGGAGCCAACTGTAGGCCACTTCGTGTTCTTCGAGTTCCCAGAATTCCATTCTCGGGCCACATTTTGAATGCTGAGGCAGGCTGATGTTGAGGCTGAGGCAGGCTGAGGCTGAGGCAGGCTGAGGCTGAGGCCGAGGCTGAAGGCAGACTGAGGCTGAGGCTGAGGCAGGCTGAGGCTGAGGCTGAGGCAGGCTGAGGCTGAGGCTGAGGCAGGCTGATGCTGAGGCAGGCTGAGGCTGAGGCTGATGCAGGCTGAGGCTGAGGCAGGCTGAGGCTGAGGCCGAGGCTGAAGGCAGACTGAGGCTGAGGCTGAAGCAGGCTGAGGCTGAGGCTGAGGCAGGCTGAGGCTGAGGCTGCAGGCTGAGGCAGGCTGAGGCTGAGGCTGAGGCTGAGGCTGCAGGCTGAGGCTGAGGCTGAGGCCGAGGCTGAAGGACTGAGGCTGAGGCTGCAGGCTGAGGCTGAGGCTGAGGCAGGCTGAGGCTGAGGCGCAGGCTGAGGCTGAGGCAGGCTGAGGAGGCTGAGGCTGAGGCTGAGGCTGCAGGCTGAGGCTGAGGCTGAGGCTGAGGCTGAGGCTGAGGCTGAGGCTGAGGCTGAGGCTGAGGCTGAGGCTGCAGGCTGAGGCTGAGGCTGAGGCTGAGGCTGAGGCTGAGGCTGAGGCTGAGGCTGAGGCTGAGGCTGAGGCTGAGGCTGCAGGCTGAGGCTGAGGCTGAGGCTGAGGCTGAGGCTGAGGCTGAGGCTGAGGCAGGCTGAGGCTGAGGCTGAGGCTGAGGCTGAGGCTGAGGCTGAGGCTGAGGCTGAGGCTGAGGCTGAGGCAGGCTGAGGCTGAGGCCGAGGCTGAGGCTGAGGGCAGGCTGAGGCTGAGGCTGAGGCAGGCTGAGGCTGAGGCTGAGGGCTGCAGGCTGAGGCTGAGGCTGAGGCTGAGGCTCTGAGGCTGAGGCTGAGGCTGAGGCTGAGGCTGAGGCTGAGGCTGAGGCTGAGGCTGAGGCTGAGGCTGAGGCAGGCTGAGGCTGAGGCTGAGGCAGGCTGAGGCTGAGGCAGGCTGAGGCTGAGGCTGAGGCTGAGGCAGGCTCAGGCTGAGGCAGGCTGAGGCTGAGGCCGAGGCTGCAGGCAGACTGAGGCTGAGGCTGAAGCAGGCTGAGGTTGAGGCAGGCTGAGGCTGAGGCTGAGGCTGAGGCTGATGCTGAGGCAGGCTGAGGCTGAGGCTGAGACTGATGCAGGCCACTGCGACTGTCATCGTGAATGCGACTACGACTGCGAGAACAGCAGAATTCTACAACTGGATTCTCATCTGAATCTTAAGTGGAATGCTTCCAGATATGCTCCTACACATCGCTGTTAGGTTGCTTTGCCGGGACAATTTTTCTGCTTCCAGGAGGGAAGCACGTCCTAAGGTGTTTCACGCCGTTTTGTGATCGTTTTCTTACGCGTTGTCTTGCCGATCGGCGCGGGCCCTCGCACCCCTCTCCTCCTCCCCCCTCCCTCGTGGAGTAGATCTTGAGTGTTTCTGGCGCCTGTTTCAGGCATGTGGAGGCTCCCCCAGAGGACGCACTGTTGCAAACAGTCGCGCTAAGCAGAGATCCAGGTCCTAAACAGTCCTCCTCCTCCTCCTCCTCCTCCTCCTCCTCCTCCTCCTCCTCCTCCTCCTCCTCCTCATCTCTTCCCTTCTCCTCCCTCCTCCTACCCCCTCCCCTTCCGCCCAACGTCGAAACGCCGAAGAAGACAACGCTCACGTTTTCGGGCTCTCGGGGCCCTCCACGGGCCCTGGGACTGTCAGGAGACGACCCAGGATGAAGAACTGGACTTGGGGGAAGGTCCTCAGGGTGCAGGACCCGTTTCCCTCAGGGCCCGTGTCCCCCATGCTATTTGAACCGGCCCTTGTCCTCGGCCACGCGCAGGGGAGGGTGGGGGGGAGGGGGGAAGGCTTCTTAGAAGCACCCCCGCTTCGTAGAGGGGACGGGGCTTCTCTGCAGATGTGCGGCCCGCGCCTTCTCAGAAGCAGCCTCCTAAGATGCCTTGCCCCCATCCCCCCTACCCCCCTTGTGCGCGCCGCAACATCCCCATCCCCAGCCTGGACCTCCACCGTTTTACCACCCCAGTTGGGAATACCCTCCTCGAAACACGAAGGGAAAGGCCTATGCCGCCATCTACCGGGGGGTAAATCGGCCAGCTGGGCTCAGGCCACGCCCATGGGGATAGGGGTCGGTTAGTCGATTTTCGTAGGGGAACGAAGAATAACATAAACATGAAAACGCGGAGGTCCGCGCGATTGCTTGGATCGGCGCTGGACCCCCCTTCCTGGCGCGCGGAGCGCGCCAGGGGCGGCGCCAGAGGCGCCGCCGGGGGGCCCCAGCGCCGATCCGATTGATCCGCGCGGACCTCCGAGGTTTTTTGCTCATGTCTCTGTTCGTTTCCCTGGCTCAGGAGGCAAGCGCAGGCGCGTCTGGAGGTTCCAGTTCATGGGAGGGAGCGGCGGCAACAACCACCTCACGGCGCACCTCCGGCGCAGGAGCGCCACCGCCATGGAGGAGGCGGAGGCTGCCGAGGTGGAGGGCCTCGACGTGGCCGCCACGGAGGCCGACCAGGAGGCAGTCGCCGCGCCGGTGGGAAAGTCTTCAGTCGGGCCTTTCTCTCGTCAGGAGGAATATTCCCACATAGTTTTTTAAACAATAGCCTGGGGGGCGATTTTCTACATTTTTAAAATATGTTTGAATATTTGTTGTTGCTTTGATTTTTCGCCCGAAATCCGCCTTTAGGACGACCTGCCCGACCTAAGGCAAGTCCCGCCGAGCCTGCGGCGACTTCGCAGGCGGTCGCCGCGACGCCGGCGAAGAGGCCCCTGGACGAGGCGAAGGGGCAACAGGGCAGCGGCCAACGCCCCTGTAGGCCTCGGTCCTCGCACGTCGTGCCGCCGGGGAAGGCGGCATGAGTTCCATTCGGGGTGCGGCAAGCACGCAAAGCGCAGGAGGGCGAGCTCCTGGTAGCGTGTTTGTCATCGCTTTCGCGCCTGCCTGCCCTCCTCCGCCTCCTCCGCCTCCTCCTCATCATCTTGCTCTTGCTCTTCCTCCCAGTGCTCATGCTCCTGCGGCCTCGGCCACTTTGATTCTTCCCCGCCCCCCGTCTACGTACACGTCTTTAACCCCCCCTTGTCCAACAGGCCACCTCAAGTGCATTCCACTCCTCATCTCCGTCTCACATCCCATTCTACTCCCCGCCCTCCCTTCCGTCGATTCACTCCGCGTTTCCCTCCTAGCCCGCCGCCCCATCCTGCTCATGCATAGGACTTGTGGAACGAGTACATCCACGAGACGGCGTTCGAGGCGCCCACCTTGGCCAGAAGCGGGGAAGAGAAGAGCGAGGAGGTGCCGTCTGAAAGTCCACCGTCACCGACATGCAAATGGCATTATCCCTATGCGCTTGGCGCGCGGCTCGGTGAAGAGGATTCGTCTCTACAGCTTGGGGCTCGAAATGCCTTACTTAGCGCACCCAAGAGGGCTCAGCTCAGCATAAGCCGTATCAAAGGGTAATTTCTTAAAGCCTACGCGGCGGATGATCTGGGCATGAAAGCATCAACTTCCAAGTGGGAGAGAGAGCCCCCACAACAGGTTGGCATTGACGATGTATGTATGCGTGACCTGGCTGAGGGTAGCTGCACGAAGGTAGGGAGATAAGTTTTGGTGGTGGTGTGGTTGGTAGTGGTTACGGCGATGGTACGTCATCGTGCTTCCATTTTTCTGTCATTGCCCGTCGCATACCACATTCCATTGCCGTGTGCAGAGTCCCACTCAATTTTGCCGCGGCAGTCTGCATTGCCATGTTTCCGTTTGTCGACGATTGGCCTCATCACGGTGATGGCTCTTTTGTTTGCGTCTGGTTGCCTTCGGGATCTGAGGAGGACGAGGAGGACGAGGAGGAAGTTGTTAACCGCAACGTTTCTTTCACCTCAGTCATTCGCAAGTTGCACGAACAGCTCCACGATGTACACGAAGCCGAGCGAGAAGAAACCAATACAACAGGATATCCGAAGAGGCCCATAAACGGAGGAACGTCCGCTTTGGCAGAAGTCCGCTTCGGCGGACGTCCTCTTCGGCAAGTCCTTTTCGGCTGGCCGGCTTCTACAGAAGTCCGCCGAAGCGGGGCTGCCCAAACGGATCTGCCCAAGCCGCGCTTGCCGAAGCGGACCTCTGCCGACATGAGTCTTCCGAAGAGGAGTTGCCGAAGGCGATTGCCGAAGACGGTCAGCCGAAGCGGACCTCTTGCCACAGCGGACTTGCACCGAAGAGAAAGAGGAGGCGGAGGGAAAAGAGCAGGAGAGGGGGAGAGGAGAAGAGGAGGATCGGCCTGCTCCCAGCCCTCTCCTGTGTTGACGGGCCCGCATTTTCGCTCCCCTTCGCTGCTCATCAGCATCCTGTCCCCTCCTCGTCCTTCTGCTCCTCCTCCTCCTCATCCTCGTCATCCTCTTCCTCATTCTCCGCCTCCTCCTCCTCCTCATCCTCCTCCTCTTACCACCACCATCATCAGCAACATCATCATCATCAGCAGCATCATCAGCATCATCATCGGCATCATCATAGTCATCATCAGCAGCATCATCAGCATCATCGTAAACATCATCAGCATCATCGTCGCCAGTATCAATTTCATGTTACTCATCATCAGCATCATCATCATCAGCAGCAGCATCCTCATCATCATCAGCATCATCAGCATCCTCATCATCATCATCATCATCCTCATCATCATCATCATCAGCATCATCATCATCATCATCATCAGCATTGTCATCATCATCATCGCCAGCAGCAGCAGCATCATCATCACTTCTGTTCTCTGCCCTCCCATGCTGCTGGCCCCCACCCTCCTGTGCCGATGGGCCCTTCGCTTCGATCTGCGGCGCCGTGCCGCACGCCTCGTCCTCGCGCCTTCCCCGCTCCCATTTCTACCGCTGCCGCTCTTGCGCTGGTTGCTGCATGCTGCATGCTGCTGGTCCGTCGTCGTCGTGCCCCACAAGGAGCCCCATGTTTGGCCCGAGTGGGAGGGTCCACAAGGCGTCGCTCTGGCCATTCGGCACACCCCTCGCGCAAATCGTGCCCCATAGGGTGCGTTCGCATGCGAGCGACCAAGCCTGCGTCGCGCCACCCAGTGGGAGAGATATTCCCTGCGCCATTTGCTTATGCGACGTGTTGGGCCTTGCGCCAAGACAATTCTCAGCATGCCTCTCCACGCAACTTTGGCCAAGAGGAGTCGCCAGACCGAGGGACTGGCAGAGAGTCGGGAGCGTGCAACTACTGATACACCAGGCGCGGGCGTCGTCATCGCCTTCATCACCACCAGCATCAGCAGCATCATCAGACCCATCCCTCTTGCTCCTCATCTCCTTGCTCCTCGTCCTCCCCACCTTTTGGTCCCTGGCCATGTTTGGGCTCAAGCCGCTTTGGCTCCGCTCGCGCCGCGCGCTCCGCGGGCTCCCATGGGCGCCCTGCGCGGCGCCCCCGCCGCCCGCCTCGGCTCGCTGCTCGCGCACCTCGCCGGCCTCGTCGGCTGCCCCGCGCGGGCGGCTGCGGCGGCCGAGGGGCAGTGCGGCTCCGAGGAGCCCGGCGCCTGCGGGGCTGCCGAGGTGGGCGCGGCGCAGGCCGGCAAGGGGCGCGGCGGCCGCACGGAGGCGCCCGCGGCGGGCGCGCGGGCTGGGAAGGGCAGGCTCGCGCGGCGCCCCGCGGCGGGAGGCCCCGGCACGGCCAGCGTCTTCGATCGCCTCTGCGAGGAGCTGCTGGTGGCGGAGGCCCGGGGGCCGTGCAGGGCGGCGCTGAGGCGGGGGAACGCAAGCGGCCGGCGGAGCTCGCACGAGTCGCTGCACGCAGCCAGCCTCGCGGGCGGGGACGAGGTGGCCCGCGTCTGCCTGCACGTGGCCTTCTTCAGGGAGAACCCGGCGGGCTACGTCGTGCCCATCGCGGAGAACGTCGACGCCTTCGTGCGCGTCTGCCGGGGCGCGTTCTACTCGCTGGAGGAGGAGCCGCGGCGCCGCTTGCGCGCGCTCCTGCGCACGGGGGCCCTCCGCGACCGCCTCTTCGAGAGCTACAGGCCGCGGCCGCCCGCGGGCCACGACTGCGCCGCCGCCCAGCCCTCCAAGGAGCCCAGCGAGCTCGGCCGCGGCGAGGAGGCCGCCGCCTATGCGCGGGCCGGCCTGCGCCCGCTGCGGGAGAGCGTGATCCTTGCCTCGGAGGTCGGCGCCGCCCTCGCGCGGGCGGAGGTCGCGCGCTTCGACGCCGGCGGGCTGCTGCCGGCCTGGGTGGTCAACGCCACCCTGCAGGACCTCGCGGGCTCGGAGCCGGAGGCTGGCGCCGCCCCGGCGAAGGTGGGCCTCTTCCACGGCGGGAGCGCCGTGTGCCACGAGGCCCTCGTGCGGTTCACGCGGCGGCTGCTGCCCCGGCACGGGCCCGGCTCGCAGGAGGTACAGGTTGCAATGGACGCGTTGTTCCCGTGGCTGCTGCAGGAGCACTGCTCACCTGCGGCAACACTGGCGGACGCAGCGGCGCGGTCGATGCTGGGCAAGGGTCCCATGAACTATCCGTCCTTCAGCGCTGTTGGTCAGCTCGATGAGGCTGGCAAGAAGGCTGGCCATGCCTGGGGTACGAGCGTTGGGGCCTCGGAGGTGAACCTGCGCCGACTGCCGAAGTTGGCGGAGTCTCTGGACTTCTCTAGACCCCTCGGTCTCGAAGGGGAGTTGGAGCACGTTCACAGCTACTTGTGGTTAGGCGCCCGGTTCGGAAATTTCCATATGGACGCCTACGACAACATCTTGATCCAGCTTACAGGTGAGGTTGACGTCATAGTGTTTCCGTCCAACTGTTCGCAAAAAACCATGGTCCCTGAGCAGGCTGGGCTCCTGGAGTGGGTAACTCAGGGCATGCCGCACGGGAAAGGCCGGGCCCCATTCTTTCACATCAAGCTAGGACCTGGGGAGGGGGTGACCATTCCAAGCGACAGCAAGCACAAGGTTACCAGTCGTGACGTGGGGCGCGTCGCAATTAATGCGTTCTTCGAGCCTGCCTTCGCGAAGATGAGGTGGCCTGGAGCGCCTTCCAATGCGTTCAGGCGCAATGACATTGATGTGTTGGCTGTTCGCGTCCTGTGGGCGCGCACATTAAAGCGGCTGTGGCATGTGCGGCGTACGGCCATGTTCTTTCACTCGATCAGGATGGAGTTACTGTGATACTCGGTGGCCGCCCGTCGTCGTCGTTGATGCCAATTCCTCGTCATTCCTGTGCAGGTTGCCCACCTTTGCTGAGCGCGCTATCTCGGTTGTGCAGAACTGGCGTCACCCTACCGCTTACCGCATATCAACATTGGAGCCCCGATATGTTTTGCACGAGCTTGTGAAAGCTATCAGGATGGCGACAGCACCACAAGCAGATCTGGTCCAAGGCCAAGAACGCCAGCGGCATCTTGCTCATCCTGTCGCAGTTTCGCTCAAGCATCGCTGCCAGGCAAGCCGACTATCAGAGCGTGAGTTACCCACCCCGCTTTCGCTTCCGGGCAAAACCAAGTCATACCACGCGCCTCGTCAAGCGGCCTAACCAGTACAGGCCGTAGTCTGGCATCGCTTGGTATCTCTTGGAAGCGAGGGTGGTCAAAAGCGAGGTAGGTCTGTTTGTCTCTTAGACTAGCCGGCGCAGTTTCGCGCCCACCTGCCTCCTGCGACCGGTCGACATTGGTCGCCGAGCGGGCCCAGGCAGCGGGGGAAGGGAGCGGCGCCGTCTCCATCGCCAGCTTTGCCGTGATGGTGTGCGGAGAGGAGATCGGCCGGCCCCTGCGCTGGCGGCAGCGGTGCCGCTTGACTCGGCGGCGAGCGAAGGGGGGAAGCGAGAGAGCAGAAGGCCTGGAAGGCGGCGGGCTCCTCAGAAGCCCGCCGACCTCCTGGCATGTTCGCTGCGTCTTCGGGGAAGGCCTCGAAGACTCCTCAGAAGGCCGGGGGGCTCCCGAGCTT